TAAAGTAACAAAGAACAAGTTGACATATTCATAGTTCATTATTATCATTAAAAGTATACTTTCGTATGAAACAGATTGGTCGGTCCAAATTTATTTATTTTTCCTTTGGAGTTCTTTTCATTAGCCTTTTGAGTGTGGAACTCAAACACCTTTCCCAACCATCCAATACGATAAAGCCTCATTTAATTGTTATATTTATTGGTTTGGGAAATTGGACTAGTGTCCATATACTATTGACTAGTGTACATTCTAGTTAATTCATGTTGATATATTAATTGAATTTATATTGAAATTATTTTGCAATTGAGACAGGACTAAATAGGACGGGGAAAAGTTGCAGATTGCGGTGGCTAAATTATCTCCGGCCAGATATCCGCCGTGGAGACATATCACTCCAAGAACAATTTATCATTCTCGAACTCCATTCTCGTTGGGGAAATCGGTATGAAACCTTTATTTATATCGACATATAGACATACAGTCAATACATTACTTGAAATAGAAAAAAGGGACATATATACGTTGAAGAGAGCAAATTTCGAACGTCTCTATGAAATAAATAACTCATTATTCAATGTATCAGTAGATAATTGACAAAATCAATTTGATGCGTATTTGAAATTTCTTGGTTGAATTGTGATTAGTATATGAACAGAATTAGTAGATAATTGACAAAATCAATTTGATGCGTATTTGAAATTTCTTGGTTGAATTGTGATTAGTATATAAAATTTGTATCATATTCTTATCAAAAAAAAAAAAAAAAAAAAACGTGTATCATATTTGAAATTAAGATAAGACAAATCAACGTCTTTTTATCGGGGTAACTAGCTATTAGGAAACAATTGTAACCTTTAAATCATCTGTTTAATCTAGTAAAAAACTTAAAAAATATTTACACCGTCATTTTAGAGTTTTTGTTACAAAGAATGCTGTTTTTTTTAATATTTTCATTGCACTAATTCAACTTGTTTTAATTGTATATTAACAGAATTAATTTAAAATAATAATTATAGTATTCACAAAGAGTATATTTAAAAAATATGATTTTCATTTATTTTGATAATGATGGGTTATAAACTAAATGAGATTTCAATAATTTAAAATTTCTTCTATTTTGAAGGTGGTCAAAGATTGCTCAACATTTACCAGGAAGAACAGATAACGAGATAAAGAATTATTGGAGAACACGTGTTCAAAAGCATGCAAAACTTCTAAAATGTGACGTGAATAGCAAGCAATTCAAAGACACCATCAAACATCTCTGGATGCCTCGTCTCGTCGAGAGAATCGCCTCCACTCAAAATGTCGAATTTACCCCTAACCACTACTCGCCTGAGAACTCGAGCGTCGCCACTGCCACGTCATCTACGTCGTCGTCTGAGTCCATGGCGTCGAGTTTCTACGGTGATGATCAGGTGGAATATGGAACGTTGGATCCGAATGGTGGTAATTGGTTCAACGGCGGAGATGCGTTTGAAACTTTGTGGAGTTTTGACGAGCTCAACAAGTGGCTCTTACAGTAGCAGCATTTCATGTGATAATTACTTAATGTATCAAACATAAACTTATTTAATTGTATAAAACAATTAAAGGTTTTTCTCCCTTTCTGTTCTTTTTCGTCTTTATGTTTTTTTGTTTCCATTTCTTTATAGGTTTATTTTGTTGTGGTGTACGTTTTTTACAAACAAAAAATTCTGCTTATCATTGTTATCAAATTTATATTTCTACACAGAAGCATGATTTAGATAAGAGCACAGAAGAGAATAACAACATGAGTTTAGTTAAAAAAAAAAAAAAAAAAAAAACATGAGTTTAGTTGGTAATGTTTTTAAGGATATGCGTAAGTGGTTCGGGGTTGGAAAACTCGGGACCAAGTCGTCATATAAGATTGTTTTTCTTCTTTTTTAATATAAATATAAGATCGTTTTTCTTTCTTCTTTTCTTCGTTTTCCTTTTTCTTCGTTTAGTGGTATTTTTAATAGTTTGGATCATATATAAAACAGATCCAACGTAACCGTTAGTAGGATGTATATATATATATATATATATATATGATTGTCTTTCCAAAATAGTGTGTACTGAATAGAAGAACTGAATCAATGATCTTCAAACCAATAATTGAGTTAACAATACGATCATTTGTAATCTACAATGATCATCAATTTCGTTTTATAAAATATCACCTCATTATAAAAAAAAATTAGGAATATTTGAAAACATATCCCAAAGAAATTCATGACATATACTTGTAGTGGAATGGATTGAAATTGAAATTGATGCATAATGTATATATCAAGTGAACATCAAATTATAAGTTTTACTCTCTCCTCTAAACTCAGAGTTTAAGTGTTCATGACATCTTGCATATTGCTTAGAGCTCTTAAAGGTGAGATCAACTCTTAAAAATTGGTAAGTCAAAATTCGACGTCTCAAAGATCATTTAAAAAAATAATCTTTAGTTACATACATGTTAAATTCTAAATCGGCTATTTAGTTTGTAGTGCTTATTGTTTTAGAAAATTCTAGTTTGTAGGGCCTATTTTCCTGTTTGGCTAACCAATACTATCGTTAATTTCATTTAAAAGTCACATATTAATTTTGTTTGTATAATCATTAATGGGATTAGAGGTGGGAACATCTAATAGTTTAACAACTAAAAGAAAAGGACGTACGTGAATGATGTCTCTATTTCCTAATCATGATTAGAATATACTATTATTATATACTATAATCCAACTCACGAAACACTTTATCGAGATTATATACGTCCAGAGAGGATGAACTCAAATAAATTAGTCTACTTAACTAATTTCTTAAATAAAATTATTTCTCAGTGTGTTTTTTCCACTACGTCAAGAATAGGATCACAGATTCACCAGAACCCTAATTTGGTAATCAAGATATTAATTGTTTAGTTTTGTTAGAACACTAATCACATACGGAAAATATAAAGACACGTGCGACTTGTTGCTTTGAAAGAAAAAAGAAGTAATACGGGTTTGAATAAAAAAATTTAAACATCATTAATATGCTGTTTCAATAAAAGTTAAATTTTTATTTTATTATCTTTTAATATTATCGATATTAGAAAATAATATGGATTAAAATAAAATTGTATAAAAAAAATTATTCCGTGGTATAGCTTTCGGAAGGGGAAAGAAAGAGAGAAGTGGCAATGGCGGCTGTAGTGGGAATCAAAGAGAAAGGTGGGCGCATGAGAAGCAACCCAAAAGTGGTCCCAATTCGACACATGTGTGCTACATCTTTCACGTGTCTTTTCTTTTTTCTTTTATTTAGCATCCTCTAGAAAAATTATCTTTTTAAGAGTGGCTATCGTTTCTTCGATTATTGGTTCCTAATAACTCGATTTATCATTTATCCAGTTTCTGTTTGGGTCGGGTAGTTGACTGAAGTGGAGTTGGATTAGTTTGGATAAATAATTCATTTTTATTAATCCTCCAACTATATATCGATTACTAATTAAAATTTTTATTTTATTTGCATGTATTTTATATTGTTTCTGTTTTAAAATATAAGATGTTTTAGTTAAAGTAAATAGATTAAAATATTCACTTTTAAAAATTTTATCCAATCATCAATAAAATTACATAATAGAAATAATTATATAATATTAAAGTAATCTATACTTTGCATAAAATTTAAAGACATTTGATATTATGTATAAAATAAAACGTTTTTCCAATATAACTTATATTATAAAATGAAGAAAAATAGAATTTTACATGTTCTTCTTTCTTTTTTCCTTTTAATTTTTTATTATTTGAATATGCGTTTTCGTTAATCTTATTGCAAAGATAATCACTTCTCATTATTATATGTGCTTCTAGAGAGATTCCTTTTTTTTTAAATACTTCTAGAGAGATTCCTTATAATTAGGGAACGTTAGTGCAGAAAACAAGGATATATGGTTTTGGACTTTCATTTCAATAAAATTATTGCAGATAGACAAAGCGACGAATTAAATTAAACACAAATAAAGTGATCACTCCATGATAGAGGACAATTTGATTTTGAAATAGTATAAACTTTTCTTCCTCATAATCCCTGTTTTAGAGACATAATTGCATCTTCGGGACCAAACATTGCATTATTATCCCCCAGACTAATCAATCTCAAAACATTAATAAAAATATCTAGAAGATAAAGTAACACAACGAAAGTCTTTGCTTAGGAACTTGTTCTAATATAAAGTAGGAAAGGGAACCCTACATGCCCAAGTTAATGGGGTTTTATAAATATTAAAAGAAACTTAACAATTAATCTAATCTATAAAGGCTTACCAAGGTTAATTATGCAGTATAAATTTATAAAGAACAAGAAAGTTAGACAAATGTCAAAAGCTGTATGTAAAATATGAGTAGAGTCTATGCAAAGCAACCTCAAGAAATAAGCCATTCGTGGACCTTGTCAGTTTTCTTATTGATATTTTCAAAACTGTTTCTGTATTGACAAAGTTGAATTCAAAACAGCCATAATGATTATACTGTGAAAAAAATCAATGTAGTCGTTGAACATATATAAAATGTAGAAGATTGGATCTCAAATATCTCAAAAACTATTGCAAATACACTATGAACTATAAGATGGTTGATGATTGTACAATTGACATTTTTCCTAAAAGATTATCCAAATTCAATAGGCCCAAAATTCAAGTTTGAAAAAGGTATCCAATAACAGCCCAAAACTAAACGACCAATACATGTCTCTATGATAAATTAAAAGAAAAAAAAAAACATGTTTTGGGATTACTGGATTTCTATTAATTGAACGTTGACAATATTTTCTATTATTAAGGAGATGGAGAATAAGAAGATTTAAAATTCGAGTAAAAAATTAAAGAGATGATTTTACAAGTAAAATGGTTGGAGGTAAAACGGTTAACAAGTATTGTCTATTCATCCTCTCTATAACTTTAACAGTTCAATAAGTCTTATAAATTTACTTCATTATTAAATCATTTATCCAATATTACTTCCTTAATATAATGGGGTGAAAAACCACATTTCACCTCCACAAAGTTAACGTAACACATTCCAAAACTTTCATCTCCGAGTTCTAGTTACACCGATCTAACATGTCTACTTTTAGCCTAAACTTTGAACATAGTTAGACAAAAACACTACATAGATATTACTAAAAAGCTCTGTCACCAACATCAATCCTAGTCCTTACATGTACGAAACATGTCTAAACGGCTATCCTCGAGTCGTAGCGAGTACGCAAGTTTCTTGTACTCGCCCCATGTAAATGTTTGGTATAACCGTGGCTGATTCATCATCGTGACCATGGCCGAAAGAGGCCCAATCTTCGCTTGAAGCGGTGGTCCAGCGAAGTACGCCGTCGAGAGCCGACTTTCTTCTCCGTAGGTCAATGCTCTATGCCTTACACTTATAAATCTCCCGTTCGTCATCACCTTAATTAAAATCCAAAAAATAATTAATAAAATCCACAAAATTGATAAATGACAGAAATATTATTACAGTAAAATGTTGTAACCAAAAAAAAAAAAAAAAAAAAAAGCACGTTCATGTTTAGTTTAGTTTTGGTTTTTTACGGTTTTTTTGTTTGTTGATTTCATAAATAAATGGTTTTAGGTTTCGTATTATATGTTTGCGGTTTAGGTTCTATTTTTACGGTTTCGATTTCGTTTAGGGTTAATGAGACTTTGGTTTTTAATCACCACAAATAAAAATGATGCAAGAAAAATAAAAAAATGTAATCAAGAAGACGACTGAAAGAAAAAAGAAGACACCGACCTGTAACAAGTCTCCTACATTGACGCAGAAAGCTGAAGGGTCAGGGGAGACAGAAACCCACATGCCATCTGAATTTGACACTTGGAGTCCTCCTACACCGTTAGATCTAAGAACTGTTAAGATCTGAGGGTCGGTGTGTTCTCCGAAGCCAACTCTTGTCAGTGACACAGATTTGTCAGAAAGATTGGCTCCACCAAAGAATTGATCGGACGGTGGATAATGATTCACTCTCAGAACGGAGTCACTATCGACGGAGCTGATTAACCTACTGAAACTGTGAGGTGGGACATGAAGTCCCTCAGCCGTCAGATCTAAGATCTCACGAGCCAACTGCTTAACTGCTTCTATGTAACAATTCACTGTCGAGCTGTCAAACATATACGTCACACATCAGCACGAGCTTCATTTTTTCTTTGTTACTTATAGAAATATACGAAATATATCCACGTAACCTTAATATTTCTACTTTCAGAAAGAAATTGGTTTTTTTTGTATCAAAGAAAAAAATAAATAGACAAAAATGAATCATTATTGAGTTAAGTACGAAAAAAAACTGTTGAAACATTAGTACGAACAATTATACAACTTTGTAAGAGTTCGTATATTTAATAACTAAGACTAGCAGATTGTACATTTGTAGTATATATAAGTTTTTCTAATAGCTCAAAATATAAAATACACACATGTATCATGTAGTTTAGTAGATACACAATTCTTATCCATACACTGTTATTGACAGGCCCGTGCCTATGTAGGCAAATTAGAAACGTTTGCTGGCCTTTTTTAAAGAATTAAAGTATTTAGGTTATTAGTTTTTGTTTTAATACTTTATAGTAATAGTAAGTCTAAATGTAGAGTCACAATACTTTTAAAAAGAAAAATCAGAAACAAATTAAATTAAAAACGATAACAAATTAGGATATTAAACTTCTTCTTATGTCAACTCATGATTATTTTACCATTAAGGCATTAAATTTTCGTTAGTTTTCTAGACTAATTTTTGTTTTCAGATCTCAAATGTCTCAATAAGGCAAACTCATGGTTGTTAATCCTTTTTATTTTTTCATTACATTTCTTCATTTCTCTTACCCAATTCTTCTTTAGTTAATCATTTTTTTTAATCTTTTTTTTTTTTTGTGTTTATACTTATTAATAATTTTATATATTAGATACTATATTTTTAGTTTATGGTCTTAACAATCCTAGGAACAGCTCAGGTTTTTTTTTTTTGGTATGAAGGAACAGCTCAGGTTATTGAGACAGACTATTAGATTTTTTTTGTTTATTAGCTCTGATAGTTTTGGTTCCTCTAGACTCCACTATTGTTTAAAAGGTTCCAAAATAAATGAAAAACAAGCCTATAGCTAATTAAATAAATAAAAGGTGAACTATTTGTTTATAGTATCAATAATTAATGCTTCCATGAGCTATAAGTCTATAACTCTCCTTTTACATTAATATAGACCAACAAGTTAACATTTAAATTATATATACTGTTATACTGACATATAAGCATACATTAAAATATAATTTACATAAACATGCATTTTGCCTACATATAATAACCATGTGCATTTATCACATTAATATTTTCAAAGTTTGGTATATATATATATACAAGAACTTCTGAACGTTTCCACGCTATACATGCAGTTATATATTTATATGAAAATTAATGCAACTATAATCTATTTCATTAATATATTAATAATGATTAGGTTTAAAGGAGACTCAAACTCAAACCGTAGACGTACAAATACAGTTACTATACGTGTATACCTGAAGGAGAGCTGAGAACGAAAGGCAGGGTCGTTAGTGTGAAACAGCAAATACTCGACCTCACCAGAGTCACCGTTGAGGCCAATGTCTCTAAACCCATACCGGAAAGGCTGGTTAACCGGTCGGACTGATTTCTTCTCGTGAGCCGGTTTAGCAAAGAAGTTTATAGACTCTTGCTCCATCCTTGAGATGGTGGTTTGGTCAACGCCATGGTTGATCACTTTGAAGAAGCCGAGAGTCTCACAGGCTTTGACTATCTGCATCGACACTTGTGATCTCTCCTGCGACATATCTATTATTGGTATGTCTTGATCTACGGCCACGATTTTCTGGGACCCTTTCACCATTTTTAGAGAGAGGGAGATTGTGTGAGAGAAGATGATGAGGAAGAGATTTTCACCATTAGTGTATGCATGTATGTGTGGATATATTTATATACAAGCACAAGAGAGAGAATTTTTGGTTAACCAAAATTGGTTATCACGTGCATACATATGTATTAGGCACCAACGGGTAATACTATGTTTGGTGGAGTCTTATAAATTTTATAAGGACTATATAAGGTAGATAATTAAAGAAAAAGAAAGTTGCATGATGCTTTGTTACGATTAAAGTTTTATAAACACATCAGAATTAGGGGAAAGACTTCAATTAGCTATTTTGTTTTTTCCTTTTTCACTGATCTTTTGTTTTAAGTTTTTGTTGGTTTCTTCTTTTCTTACACAAATCATTTTAATGATTATTTTTTTAGCTATACGACTACAACTTTACAGAATAAATTTAAGAATTTGTTACCTGATGGAATTTCATCTTCTTCTTTCTTTTTTTTTTTTTTCTGAAAGAAATTTTATCTATTGTAGATGAATATGTTAAAATCTTTTGTACTTGCACGTGTATGTACATATATATTAAACATTATCAAATGCGTGTTCTCTATGTATTATCTCATATATGATGCTTAATATGAACCCCTAAATCTAAATCTAACGCAAAACTTGATTTCATGTAAATCATTGCATTTAATATTATTTTTTGTCACCCAACATGTTAATATACTTCCCACAACTTTCAGGTAATAAGAATGCATAATACTATTCTCCAAATATTCGTGAACCTCTTTCACATTTATTAATTTGTATTCCTCGGGATATTCAGCTGATCGAAGACTTCTGGCTAAAGTAGAACCCGCAGATTCCCAATTTGCAAAAGAAGTTTGACCTCTTTATTATAATGTACTACTATTCAATATCCACAATACAATTTTATTTTTTTCTTTTTGGAATCTTATAACTTTCCTCTTGTTGAATAAAATAAAAGATAACCTATGTGAGATAACATAATAACCGGCCGATATAATATTCTCTACATAATTCCCAACAAAATACTTGAATGATTTACAACTAAGAAAAGTAGATATTGGCGGTGATATCTTGTGACAAGTTATTCGATTCTGATAATTTTATATTCCGTTGGTGTCTTGAAACTTCAAAGATATTGGTCACTCTTTCAACAAACCAGATTTCTTTTAAAAGAAAGTCAAATTTAAATTAGATAAAAATAGCATGGGTTTGAATTTGGTCGGATCAAGTTAATGGGAACCAGTGGGTACATTCCTATATATGGAATATTGGGTATGACTGGTAAAAAGTGGAAGAAATGAGATGAAAAATAAAAGAAGAAAAGAGAAGAAAATAAAAGCAGAAAAACAGAAGAATTTTTTCTCTCATATATTTGAAGTTGGATGAATTCTACCTTTTCACGTTGCTTTTTGAAGAATTGGGAAGAAAACAAAATCAACTGCTTTTCATCTGACTGGTTACATTTAAGTACAACACAGAAGAATTACTTTTCTTCTCATTATTTTTCTTCTATGAAAGAGTACTAGTCAGACCCATTGTTTTCTATATATATATACAAATTTATTGACCACCAACTGGCACATTTATATTTATAAATTTGTTCAGCTTTGTAGCCAGACTTTTATGGATAGCTTCATTGACTCGAATTTATATTGATTTCAAAATACAGTCCATTTATTCGAGTTCGAATGTATGTGATCGATGAGATTGACGGGGAATTAATGTGATCGTATGTGGTAAACGCAATTAGAATACTGAATGATAGTTAAATAAAATAATAGAAATGACTAAAAATGAAAGAAAAAAAATAACAACAATAGTATATACTAGCATATAGACAGATTTTAGATTCTACAAGCAAAAAAAACTATCCAATAATCCAACCTTTATCTAATTATTAAATGCCCGAGTTCTAATTCTCTGCAAAAATCCATCCAATTATCCGACCTTTTTGTTACCATTAAATGTACAAGTTCAAATTCTATGAATGTATTGTATATTGAATGTGTTATAGTAAGTCATTGCTAGGACTAGGAGTGTGTCAGTTGATTCATAGCATATAAATAGTTTCTTTACCATCATTAATTTGTAAGGGTAATAGGAGTAAATAATTGGGGTTTCTAGAACATTTATTCCAATTTCCAAATATAAGAAGATAACTATAATTACTAATTAGGAGCACCTAAAAATCCATACTGAAAATAGAAAATGCTTATAAACAAAGAATATATAACATGAGAGTCTAAATCTGCAGGAGGTTAGGTGTTGAAACCACAATTACACTTCACTTTCCCTACAATAATTCGAATCACTACTCTCAGGTCAAATCCAAAAATTTATCTACAGAAGAACATATACACACGTCACACGTGGCATTTCCACATGGAGTTGCAATAGTTTATTTGTAGTAAAAATGAGATTTTGACCAGTCAAAGAAACTGAATAGTTGAGTGTATCATAACTGTAATCAACAGTCTCTATGATTCTATCTATGGTTTAAACTTTAAAAGAAGTTGCATATAACGAAAACAAATTAAAGACTAATTAATGGTAACTCGTTTTATCAAAACGGTCACAAATTGTTCGGCAATAAGATAACTGAAAATTAAATAAGGTGGTTAAAAACGAGGTAGGGTCTCAATAGAATATATGAAGCTGGCGGTTGAAACAGTATTTACTTTAGCCACAATTACAACTATATAGCATAAGTTACAATAATTGGTGATGGATCTCTTTAAAATGTACACATTTATATAATATTGCCCACCTACTTAAAAGCCATATATACTAAGATTTAATATTGAAGATATCCACATTTTTTCAAAATGTTAAAATTACTTCTCTACACATAAAAGTTATTCATAATGTCAAAAAAAAAAAAAAAAAAGTTATTCATAATGAATGGTGGTGGAGTTGAAACTAAATGAAAAAAAAAAAGGTAGTGTCGACCGAGAAATATTAATAAGAAAACACAGGGGATTTATATGTCACATGAGAAGATATATAGTTACAGGCCGGTTTTTAGTTAGTAGATAAATTATTCCGTCGAAGTATAAACTTGTTGGTAACTTCTTCCATTGCATTCTTTGCAAATATGGTAGACTATTATTTGAAAAATTAAGAGGATGAAAATCTAACAAATATGTATTTGAAAGTTTTAGTGAGATATGGCCATCCGATGTTTTTCAAATGTTCGATGTAAATACAATACACAATTTTTTCCGACATTTTTAGATGTCCGATGTAAATAAAATAAAAATACATCTTTTGTTTTGTTTAGGGCCGGGTTTCATTTTTTAAAAACCATAAAGTTTGAAGTATGAATATCATAATTTTTAAGAACACACTTAATTTACATATTGTTAAATAAAAGCCAACTTAAAAAGAAGTCCAACCAATCTTGCTTTTATAAAAAGGCTTATAATATAAATAATCTATAAAAAAAAGCTTAAATACTTGGAAAAATCTTGAGTATGTCAATAAACATACTGCTCAAATAATGTATTAGATTTTTAGTCCACCCTCATATTTCAGAAAAGTAATTTGCTTTCCAAGGACTTCTTACTTTATAATAGTCATTTGTAGAGGCTCTTAAATGAAAAGGCTTAATATTTTTTTCATTCCTAACTTCAAAACATAATTTGCTTTTGATGAGTTTTTAGAGGCTGATGTGGGAGTCAGACCCTCTTTTGCTTGGAAGAGTATTATTCATGGTAGAGAGTTGTTGATCAAAGGTTTAAGAAAAGAAGTGGGCAGTGGTAAGTCCCTAAGTGTGTGGATGGATTCATGGGTTTATGATAATGGTCCGAGGATTCCCTTGATTAAGCATTTCACTGTCAATTTGGATTTAAAAGTGAGTGATCTAATTGATCATAGTGCTAGAAAGTGGGACAGTGTTTTGCTTGATGATCTATTTTACCCGCTGGATATTGAGATCATAACAAGGCGCAAACCTATGGTAAATATGGATGATTTTTGGTGTTGGATCCATACAAAAACAGGGGAATATTCTGTGAAGTCTGGGTATTGGTTAGCTTACCAAATCAACAAACCGGAGGTAATCAGACTTGCATAGGTCCAACCTTCGACTAATGTGTTAAAGGAGTTGATTTGGGCTAGTAAAACTTCTCCTAAAATCAAGTTATTTCTGTGGAGAGCTTTAAGTGCTGCTCTTCTCGTGGCTGATCAAATAAGACATACGGATATGATGGCTGACCCAATCTGTCAAACTTGTGGAGAAGAAGGAGAATCTATCAATCATGTATTGTTTACTTGTGCTGCTGCTCGACAGGTATGGGCTCTGTCTGGTGTCCCCTTGCCTCAGAATGGTTTCAGCGGTCTTTCTATTTTTGCTAATTTCCAGTTCCTCTTTTCCACAAAGAAGGATTCACGAGTACCTGTACAGGTGAGAACTGTATTTCCTTGGGTGCTCTGGAGATTATGGAAAAATAGAAACAAGTTATGCTTTGAAGGGTCTAGATTCTGTTTAATGGATTCAATGATTAAGATAAGAGAAGATGCTGAGGAATGGTTTGTCTCTCAGACTCAGCCTATTGAGGAGGCCTTTGATGATTCTGTGCAGGTGGACAGGTCTGTTCTGAAATGGGAACCCCCACCCTTGAATTGGGTTAAGTGTAACATAGGTGCTGCTTGGTCTAATAAAAAGCAGATTGGTGGGTGTTCTTGGGTGGTCAGAGATGCAACTGGTAAAGTTTTGTTGCACAGTAGGAGAGCTTTTGGTGGTGTGCATAATAGAAAGGAGGTGTAGTTTCAAAGTATCGTTTGGGCTATGGATTCTATGGATAGTCATAAGTTGAACATAGTGATTTTTGCGTCTGAAGGTAGTGATTTGGTAAGTGTTTTTCACAGACCTAAGGCTTGGCCTTCTTTCAGTTATCAAGTGTCGGAATTTCATCATTTGTTTGATAAGATTGTGGAGTGGAGATTGATGGAGGAAAAAGCTTCAGCAAAAAGAGGAGCCTCTCTCATTGCTCAAAGTATTGTTCGCGAGGAAAGATTACAATCTTATGTGGCAGTAGGTCATCCTCTTTGGTTCAACGCGTTTTTGAGGAGGAGAGATTTTCATCTTAAGGGCTGATGTGGTTCCTTGAATGTCTCTGTACCTATTGTTCTTGGTGTTTTTTTGGTTTTGATGAATGGTATATCTTCTCTTTACCATTCTTATTCACTAGCCTGATTCTTTTGTAAAGGTTCAGTGATGGTATTTTGTATACCCCTCTTAATTTATATATAATCTTCCCAGTGAAAAAAAAAAAAAACTTCAAAACATAATTTGATAAGTGTTAGTGTGTTACTATAAAAATCTAAACAAAAACTGAGTCGAAGTTTACTAAGCCCTTAATGATTTCTGTGCTACAATAATATATATCTACATAGTG